CGAAAGAAAGAAACCAGTATTGATTTCCTTTGTGTTTGATATAAAAATGCCTCTTGCTCGACTAAGCAATGCTAAGCTCATTTACTCGACTAATGGCCTGGGAAAATGGTTAACGGCCAGATCCCAGTGGTACTATTTGATTAATATAAATGCACCATATTGGCTACATTAATCATTAGCTTTAGACAAAAATGCTAACCACCTATTTCTTGGGAAAAACAAGTCATTCATTAATCTTGCTTCTCCCCTCATAATCTATCTTCCTTTCCCTCCACTCTATCAGTTAAACACTTGCATATGTAATGTGTTAATGCAAGTGCACCACTGTTGTTGCATGCAAATTGGTGGCCACTGATAAGTCATGTACTATAAAAATAGCAGATTTAGTTTTATCAAGCTCTGAGAGGAGCTAGTAACGTACAATTTCAAAACACTACTTAGTCACACAGCATTTTATCTGAAATGCAGAGTCAAAGCTAGTAAATCTAGCATGTTTATAATCTTTTGATTGCTTGGTTTAGAAAGCTACATGCATATTATATTTGTTTATATAATGTTGCTTATATTGTTTCTGAGACATACGTCCTAAATATTTAGCTACAGATGCAGTAAATCTGCATACTTTGCTCATAGTTTGATTTCCTTACACAGTACATTTGATGTTTATAAACATGTGATGTGGATTGTGTTCTGTAATTTTCCTTTGCGAGATCAATAAAATGCAATAGCTACCATATATTTCCATTTGATTCCCTTCAAACTTCTCTCTCATTTGTCTGCTGCTCCTCGCTGCTGCTTTCTCATTATTTTGTCTCTGTCCCCATCTGCACTATGATTTTCTAATCCACTCTGAACTCCAGCCTGGCAGATGGGTGAGAACACAGTTCCTAGCATGAGCCTTAACTTAGTCACCAAGGGGTTAACTTTACAGTTACCTTAACAGCAGCACCGTAGTCCTAGTGCCTTGATTGCCTATGTACATTCAAATCTTTTATATGTCTTTTAGCCTCTTTCTGTTCTATTCTGTTCACTGTGTCCTTTCAAAGGTCTCTTCTTGTAAAAAGCAGCAATCCTTGTTTGTTTATTTTATTTTAGACCTGAGAGAGAGAGAGAGAGAGAGAGAGAGAGAGAGTGTGTATCTGTGTATGCATGAAAATATGTTTGTGACTATGTTTCCAAATGCAGGTATAGGCTTCCAGGCAGTGCAGGCAGCCCTGATGTGAAGTGACATGTTGAGAGACTAAGCCTTTGGACACTAGCAGAGGCAGGGAGGAGAAACCAAATAAGACAGACATACCCTTTATAAAAAAGCCACAACATAACTGCATCAGAACAGCAGATGACATGTCCCCCACCCCACTCTCCAAATTTCAGTGTCACTCAATTGTTCCCAAATCCTGCATCACTTTTTACCATAGATTTTTGCTTAAAAATATTCAGAGAATATGAGCACAGATATATAAATGTTGCAGAGTTCTACTATGACAAGATGAGCCTGGGAGAGACTGACTTGTCCCATGGAATGAGAGAGGATATCTTCATCTGTCTATTTGCTACAGTCATCATTGTCTGGATCAGACTAATTCACCTGCATGCCTGTCTGCTTTACTTACCATTATGTCTCCCTGTGTTGCTTCACCTGACCAATTTTAACCCAGTTTGAATGATGCTGATTCAGTAGTACCTAAACTGAAAAAAAATAAATAAAATAAAACCAGGTTCTGAAGAATAGCTATAACTATCTGTAACATTCCAAGTAGGACAAAGACGCATAACCCTTTAGGTGGCAAAAATTTTGTCCTGAGTCTTTAGTTTACAGCAGAAGAAAATTTAAGAGTGTGAACATTTTCTTTAAAAACCTTAGCTGAATTCTACTGTCAAAAAGTAGATTAGATAGATTCATCATCTCGGAGTCCAAGAAGTAAACACAGGCTCATCTAAGCCACTAGTGCAACCATTACCAGGTTTGAAATGCACAAAGGGAGCTGCCGATAATGCAGCATATTAAGCACCTTTCAGCACCACTGCCACTGCAGGGTGAGTACTTGACACAAGTGGATGATTCTAAAGCCTTTTCTGACTGATTTTTGAGACAGATGCTGTGTTCATGAATCTTAAAACAGGTCAGGTACCCAAAGTGACAGCAAAATGAGACAAGAGCTCTAACAAGACAGCAGATGGCTGTGTGTGGAAATAATAACCCAGATCAGAAAGAGAGAGTCAGAGGACACTGCAAATGTTCCGCTACAGCTTATCCTCCTATGCACGTTGCTTTTTCATGTTGTTACGTGAATAATTCAAACTGAAAATAAATAAATAAATAAATAAATACAAGTAGCTTTTATTTTTTATAATCACCTTGTACCTCTTCAGTCCAAGCATTTGTTCTTGCAGAGTCAATGTGCACAGTGTCTGCCTCGCCGTGTGTGTCTGGGTGTGTGCAAGCATTACCTTGGGGGAATTACAGAACAATTGGCTGTTACTTCCATGATTACTCTGGGTAAGAGTGCATACAAGCATGTTTCTGTGTATTTCTAATAGAAGTTGGTTTGTTGACTACTATAAAATGTGTGTTTCACATGTGTGGTTTGTATGATTATAAATACATTGCAGAAGCCAATAAATTATTTTTAATAATGTATATAACTAAATCAAACATTTTACTGTGAATAAACGTTTCTAAGAAGAGCTTTCTGTTGAAGCTGATGTGGTGTTTTGTCAGTTTTGTTGTTTACCTTCATAGAGCACAGGACTAGAGCATTAGATAGTAGTTTTTTGACCCTTAGCAAGCACAATACTAACTCCAACTTGACACGTCATCATGGGATAGCAGTGCTCATTAGTTCCACCTCTACCAGCTGAAAGTGCACTGCATCTACATTTAAAGAAAGGCAAACATTCATGTACATGCATATGCAGCACAGCTTTTGACATGATTATTATAAACTACACCTGCATGATGATCTAAAAAAACACAAAAAGCCCACCAAAAGCATTCAAATTTGTATAAAGTAGTGAATTCATGTTACTACCTGCCTATTGACCTAGCTAAAGTATGTCTTTAAAAATCGTGTGTGTGTACTGTGAAAAGGAAGCTGCAAGCATACCAAATGACTAGACATTATCTCCAAATGATGGCATAAATAATAACCCTACTGCCACATGAGTGATACAGTATCTCTATGTCCAGGCTACAATTTATACTAAACAGATGGCAAAAAGAGATCCATCCCCCTGATCAGTTTTCACATAATGGCCTTGAATCTAACATAAAATGGGACTAGGTTGAAGCTAAAAAAGTTTGGGACCTTGATGTTGTCAGGGAACCAGAGACAAGCACAAAGAATACATACATCTCCTTGCAGAACATTACTTACATTACTTGCTAACATCTTGAATATAAACATAAACAGGCGCCTGTATATGCATGCGCAGTTTTGGCCTCTCTAAAATATCAGCATTCTCCTGGGAAAGTAGCTGTTTTTCCACATGCACGCATTTTTATTTGTGCATAATTTCTCCATGGAATTCAACCAGTGCAGCATAAAAACACTGTATGAATGATGCATGTTTTTTCTGCTTAGTGTTATTTAATCGGCACCACCAACCTTGTTAAAGCACACCATGAAGAACATGTGACTTAGGTATGAGAGGTGACTGTGTTGGAGAATTGGGAGAAAAATGTCAGTGAGAAAGTCTTTTTGTTTTGTTGGTAAACAATATTTATATTTCACAAATTTTAGAATATACTTTTACTAGTCTCTTCTGTGCATTATGTTCTTAGCAATCACTTTCCACAGAATAAAACAAAATATGGAGCACAACAGACGAGCGCCATGTAAGAGATTTTCATAATATTAAATAAAATGAAAATGGCAAGTCTACTTTTTAGTATTTGTTGGTAGAGTTAGTGTATCAGTGGGGAGTCATTAGGACACTGGGACAAAAATTTCAGCTTACAAAAATGTGCACTACATTTTCAGCTACATCAATTATGGATTTTATGTACAGTATTTGGATCTAAAAGTGGATAAAAATACTACAGATCATGCCCCCTTCTCTAAAAGTTAATGCTGTAACTGGACCCGTCTACAGATCAGCGGTGATATTTTACAGATCAGACTTGGAAAGGACATGGTGACTTCAGACAGAGAAAATAAATTAAAACTTTATTTGATAACAATGCGCGAGAGGCAGTGGGATGCATGGTCGGCCCAATAATAATAATAATAATAGTGAGGCACCTCATAACATCATATACTGTATGAAATGCAATATTTCATACAATTCGTCTGTTTAATATTGCTCAACATGAATATTGTGTCCTGCTGCAGCAACGGAACCCCTATTGCCCTAAGAAGAAATTACTTTTGTCACACGCAAACGGTACAATCTTGCAAGCAGGGTGTCGCTGGCAAAGAACAAATGTATTGATTCAGGCCTTACTGAATAAATAAGACTATTTTTCCTTTGGCTTATTGGAATAGAGGAGATTGTTTTCTTACCTGAGACGGTCCTCACAACCTCAGTGGTGTTCCTCAAGCCCACAAAGGAGAACTGGTAGAGCCTCCAGGAGCGAGTGTCCCCAACATCCACTGGCCTGCCCTTTCTCCACTTGTACACAATCTCCTCCCTGGGGTAGCCGTCTGAACAAGACAGAACAGTGTGTATGATGTGAAGCTTAAGAGCTCAGAGAAGAGAGAAGCTTGGTGCAAAAGCCACACAATATTTTTCAAAGACTAACCGGCATCCCTTTAGGAAATATCTTTAGATTTGCTCTCTGCTATTTAAAAAAAATGTGGTGCAAGGGCATTCAATATAAAACAAAAACATGGAGCACAGTCTGTTTTATTTCAGAGTAAGCCATACTCACAAAGTCAGCTAGCTTGCAAATAAATAAATAGATAAATAAATAAAAGAACTATTATATAACGGACTCCTGAACAGCATGTTGACAGAATATCCAGTATGGTTGCAGGGAGAAAACATATTTTTTCTGAGACGCTCAGTTTAAAACAAAAATTACAATGTTGATCCACAGCCAGCATGAGTGTGAGTGCCATTATATTACCTCAAGAGCAGGCTCTCTGACTGTCAGGATCATAATAGTAATCTCACTTTCTCACTTGTCTGATACCGATTCACTTGAGCAGATGCATTATTGTGTTTGTTAGTACTGAATTTCTGTCTTGTAGGTACTGTTGTAGTAGGCCTCTTTTAACCTAACTGCAAGTCGACCTTGGAATTGTGCTCCTTATCCTGTGAATGGACCTTACTAAATGTTCCTGAGTACAGGTACAAAGTCTGACTGTAACAATCTTTAGCCAGTTCTCTTGAGATTTCAGTCCAGTGAAGAGCTGTGTGCATTTAATGATGAAATGGCTTGAATAATGCACATGAACTTTCAGCAGTGTAAACTTTAAATGGCTTTATGACTAAAGTGCTGTGAGACATCCAGATCTGCCCATCTGGTACGTTACAGCTAGCGGGAAAGCTCGTGCACTGGCAGTGCATCCAGGACAAATTATTGATTCAGTGTCCTATTGGAAAACTAGAACAATAATGTTCCTGGAGCTCAAATTAGTTTAGATTGGTACCACTTGTCTTCTTGGGAAAGTTGAAGAGGTAATTAAAATATTAAAATAAATAGACCAAACTTACTGTATATTAGTGCTTAACAAACAAAGCACTATAGTGAGACTGCCATGGAAGGCACTGGACTGCCCATCAGAATTAATCTGAGGCTCGGTGCTGACCCATTCTCCCTCCTGAGCCAGGACCAGTATATCATACCTATAAAACCACTGCAAAAGACACCGCACTGGAAATTGTAACATGCTTTGTGGCACATGTTGAAAACATATACAGCATGATAAATGTACAACACCCCGACTGAACTCATGTGCTTGTACATCAAGCAATTTTCAAAGTTCTAAAACATCTGTGGCTTTCATCAAACCTACAATAAACGCCTCTGTTCTATTTTTAGCCTCTTTCTTACTGCTCTGAAGCTATTTAGGAAGCCTTCTCTCCGGAGAATATCTAATAGTGCACCTCTCTGTAGATCCATGGCAGCCCCATTTACATAACTTGCCCCCATCTGCTCCTCACAAGCAGTGGCCAAGTCATTTGGACTCATGTCAACTTTTGAAATGTCTTTTAAAACAGTATTGCAAAATGCTGGAAAATCTAACATTACTTTGCCTTTGGATGAGTTACAGTAGCAATGAGACATCTATTATTAAATCCCTTTACTGAATGCTGAGATATACTATGAATGAACGGTTTAACAAATATATTTGTTCACATCTTTCATATTTTGACAAAAATTGTGAAAATGGTGTTTTCGATAGACTGTGTGTGTGTGTGTGTCATTGAGATGACACAGGAAGAGAGAGAGGTGTAAGACTTTAGGAAATCAGCATATGGACAAACGTACAGCTTGAAAACTCCAGGGGACATGAGTGCTCATCCATTGGGAAGTTGTTCAGTTTAAGCTGGCACTCTGCATCGATGGTTAACCTGCAGAGACACAATATTTGGATCCACTGAGTCAGTTACTATAGTAGAAAAAAGAATGAAAGAATAAAGCAGTAAAATGTCTATGTGTGAATGCATATTTTAAACTACTCCACAATCAATCACTAAACAATCATTTATATTAAAGATTGTGTTGGAAAAGTCAGAATGAAACCCCTAACCTTTTCTGTTTTAACACCAGGTAATATAATATACATTATAAATTGTGATATAAATTTATCAAAAACCAAACCAATGTTTTCAAAAGCAACACACCCGCTTCTTCTTATCACACTTGAGGAAGTTTGAAGGCAAAGTCATTAAACTTCTCCTTAATGAGAGAATGACCTTAAATGACTTTACCCATCACGCACATGCTTTTGTAATGTATCATTGTCCGTAGAATCGCACCGGTCATCCTAATTATCCAGCGGTTAAATTCTGAGATCCTTAACAAATTAATGAAGTGGTGGGGTAGTGTTCTGCATAGAAGAACATCCATCATGGCTTGACTGAGTCCAGAAGAGTTCATTTTCTCTGTTATTATCACTGATGATATACTACAGTGTCAGTATAAGCATCCACTATATTTGTGATGGCATGCAAAACATGAGCAGTGAATATTTCCCTTCCATCTACTCTCTTGTCTTGAATACAACAATCATCATAGCATTATGTCCACCTGCGTAATACTGTGTCCACAGGAGTCAGTGCAGCAATTGGCTGGCACTCGTGTCACTCTGCAGCCCACTGTGCATCTTCTGTGAATCTGCGTTTCCATAGTTTTACTGTCAGGAAGAGCACCATTGTGGTGACCATTCAGTGAAAAACTCATGTAAAAGGAGTGAAGACTGTGTTCGAGAGGACAAGTTAGAGATAACTGTTTAGAAACAATGAACAGCCTCCCCACTCCAGGTGTGAGATCACCACCATAACCACTGAATGTTTCTCTTCATAGACACCAGTGAACAGTATTTTTCATTTTCAAACAAAATGGAATCTTTTGAAAAGGATGAATGACATTTAAAAGTTAATCTACAGTAGATCAACCTCATCAGTGAGCCTTGGGTGTCCATGACCCTGTTGCCGGTTCGCTGTTTGTAGACCACTGTTGCTAGGTACTAACCACTGCAGACCGGGAACACCCAACAGGCGCTGCAGTCTGGGAGCTGCTCTGACGCAGTTGTCAGCATCACACTTTGGACTTTGTCAAAGTCACTCAGATCCTTATGCTGCCTGTTGTTCCTGCTTCCAGCACATCAACTGAATGTTCACTTGCTATGTGATATACCCCACACACTGACAGGTGCCACTGTAAAAGATAGTCAGTGTCATTCACCTCACTTGCCAGTGGTCGTAAAGTTATGGCCGGTCGGTGTATATCGCCTCATGTTAGTCGTTTCTACACTGACAAACTCTATGGAGTTAGGCCCCCTCACCAGTGTCTCACACATTATGCTTTACCTGAGGGTGTAGAGTATCCGACCATCATTCGCGATTCGAAGCATGCGATTGGGTGTGGTGATCCAGTGGGCGTCAGCCTTCTTCGAGTTCCGAAAAAAAGTGTCTGGGATCCAGATCTTCCCAACCATGTTACTGTTGAGACGCAGAACCTTCATTGTGCTGTTGAATTTTAACCTTTTGTCATGCCAGGTTTGGGCAAAAAAGATGTCGATGGTATATTCCTGGTGGCAGAGGAAACACAGATTTCCTTGAATTGACATGTTTAACTTGAATGCTACTAAACCTTGCTTTATGTAAGACACTAGATAAAAAAAAGTTGGCTTGTCAGGAAAACCTTGCCAACAGTATTGTTTAAACCCAGTGCTGTCAACACTGTGTAGCTTTTAGTTGTCAGATGCAATGAGATCAAATCAATGTTTGGGCTCCAAAAGCACCACTCAGTTTCTTCTGTTTAAAGGGGACCTTTCTACACCAGGGAAAACCTAATGCTGGAACACTCCTGAAGGTACTTCCCCAGATAAAATGGCATCTAAGCCAAAAAGTCTTTTTGTCCCTACTAAAGAGTTTTGTTGAAATAGAACCCTGAACAGTTCCCCTTGTATGGCAAAAGTATTATCGAACCTTTTAACCTGCTGTCTCAGCAGCACTTTGTCCAGAGCCTGACAAAACCTTCTGTCTCCCATTCTTGTCACAGCTGTGAACATACTGGAGATATGAGGGATGAAAACATAGGCAATAGATGCATGGGCAGGGATGAAGAGCTTAGAGCAAAGGTGAGATGTGCTCTACTAAGAGAGGGGCAGGAAAGGCAATGAGTGACAGGAGGACGAGAGAAAAAATGGGGATTTGTGTGCAAGAGAGCATCAAGGCATTAAATTCCTGACAAAGCTTAGCCAACAATAAACCTGAAATCCATGCCAAAAAGTCCTAAACAACATTTGAATTACAACATTTTCACTAGGTCACATTCCCACCTTTTCAGCATCTTTTCTACATGAGCACCAGTTAGAGCAAATCCAGTGCTGATAGAAAGACTGCATTAGGATCTTCACCTGGGTCTTTTTTCCTTTAACTGACATTTCAAACAGTTGCATATATCTACTGTAAGAAGAGCTAAAAACTGCTCAGCTCTAGTGGCTCCTAAGCATCAATTTATGATTCTCTCTTTGTTAGTCGTCTCCTATCCCTTCTCCCTCGCTCCCACTCATGAGTTGTAATTTTGCCATATTTCAAAAATTCCTAACACACAATTAAGAATTCAGAATTGAGTTCATGCTTAGATGCACACCCCCGCACCATCGGTCTATTCTCTGCTCTGAAGAAAATCTACCAAACTGGCCACATTTGTCATGTCATAGGGTGAACGCAGTGGCCCAGTGCTGATTACCGATGAATGTGAAGCAATCAGTCAACCTTTAATGTCAACAGAATGCCCTAGCTACCAGCACACGCTCGTGCATGTATGCAGACTATTTCTAAGTGATCCCATCAGTGCATCTCTTCCAACTTCACTGTGACTGCAGTTATTGAGAGTGGGTGTTTTAGCTAAGACTAAGTGAAATGTAACACCACCACGATGTAGGGCAGACTGCTCTGCAGGATTACAATAGAAGTGGGTTCTCAGTGGGATTATACAACAAAAACATTTGTGCAAAGAAAACATTGACGCATAAAACAATGTTGATGGTGGGATTTATAAGA